TTGAGGATGGCTTAAACCCCCCCTGACATGTGTAGCAGTAGCTGGGGGTATTTCTGGGGGTATCGCAGCCTCATGTGGGTAAGTCAAGAGGGTAGATTAGCACATTTTAGGCCACTGAATGCTGCAAACTGGAGGAAGAGGGGGTAGGGGATGGATCAGTGTGGACAGGCCCTGCGTACCTGTTCTGTCTCGTGGTATCCAATCTCTGCACCCATGGGAGACAGGACACGGGGATAGGTGGTCCCTGGGTATGGATGCTTATATCCTTATGAAACCTAAGCCCTCTGCTGATCGCCTCGCAGGAAGGGGACCATCCAAGCAGAGGCAGGGTGGCTTTCCCCAAGTGTCCTGCCAACACCCCTCAGTCTGAAGCCAGGGAGGCAGCTGGGACTGCTCCAAGGCTAAGTCCGTCTCAGAAACTGGCCGGTACTTCCCATGGAAATGTCAGATCTGTTGAGGATGGAGCGAGCGAGGATCTAGATGGCTTCCAAGCCCTCCTGTCACTTTGGGAAACTTTGCTATTCCCCCATGTTTCAAGCAGGGGTTTCTCATAGGGAGAGGAGAAGTGAGGTATGTCGGAGGCAGGCATGGAGCCCCCTTCTCCCCGTCTCTCAGCCCGCATCTCCCTCATCACTCAGATCATCTTCCCATCCACACAGCCTCCGCAGCGTAATGTGGTTTTGAACTAATGCAGAGAACAAAAACTGAAAAGCCTTGATCCTGGCCCTGGAGCTGCCTCTCAAGTAGCCTAACTGATCCAGCAGCCACGCGAGAACATCTGGTGTCCCCATTGCATGAACGCAGCAGCCTCCACTTCTCTTCTGCAAAGGGGTTCGTACCAAGAGCTTAAGCAAGAAGACCCCCAAACCTTCATCCTGGCAGCTCTGTATGGTCTGTAGGAGTGTCTGAAATGGAAAATAAACCTGCACTTGGACTTGTAACCCCTCCATCACAAATCTAAGCCTGCATTAATGTTCTTCCTGACTCAAGGACTTGGCTTTCCCTTACTAGGGCATTTGCTGTGAATGCGACAGCTGCAAAAGGGCCAGGTGATGCTAAATGGAAGGCTTTCCTACTGGCATTTCTGCAGTTGATCTCCAAGACAGGATCACATTAGATGAAAATAATTTCCAGTTGGAGTGGCCTTTGCTGCCCTCAACCCGGTTCCTAGAGGAGACAGCTGCCTGCATTGTTGTCTTGTTGGCACTTGCAGCGCAGAAAGAGACTGAATAGCCTACGGGGGGAAAATGTGATCTTGCCGTGGTTTTGAAGGTTGGGACTATTGTGGGGCACCTTGGGCACTGAGCTTCATCTGTCCGGGGGTAGCAGGAACTTTGCTGTCCAGGAGAAGGCGTGAGCATCGCTGCTGGATATATGCGGAAATCCATTTTGCTGCCTTTTAGATCTCGTTGCAGAAAATCACAAATTCATCCTGATGCCGGTGCAAAGCCAGGTTCATTTGGAGCCAGACCTGGCCTCAACCAGAAGGAAATAAGCTGCAGCAGTCAGATGGTTAGGTCTGGGCCCTTTCCAGGATGTCAAGCCACAAGTTTGAGTAGGAATCGTGAGATAAGATTCGAGGACTTGCGTCATTCAGGAAGTCAGACCGTGTGATCTTATTAATCCTTCCTGGCCTTACAGCCGATCAGCTAGAGAGGTCAAGGTTTACCGCGGGGAGATTAGTGAATGACCTGTATGGATACTTTTGACACAAGGTCAGGATACCCCTGGTAAAGGATGCCCAATGTTCAGCTCAAGTGCTCAGCTACTGTCACGTCTGATAGTTTGGGTAGGTTTCATGCATGGGGTCCTATGTTCCCATGAGTGCACCCTTCTTTAATTTTTTTGTAGTGCAATGCACCTTTTTTCCCCCCGTTGAGGCCCCGAGAAGAGAAAGGAGGGGTTTCTCCCCGTACCAGAAGGGTAGCACCTATTTTTTTGCCCTAGATCTGAAATCAGTTTTTCTCAATGTCTATCTGATGATTACATCAGGCTAGATGCATGCTTGGTTTTGTTAAGTATGTGGGACACCAATTGCAATGACTCAAATGTTTCCTGAGGTTTCTAGTCAAACTGGGCCAGCCTTCGCGTGACTTTTGGTGCGGTTCTGAATCATGGGCTATAACGATGGCCAGGCTACACCCGATCCAAATGACTGTCCTCTCTCTCACAATAATCAGCACCAAATGTTTCAGAAGCCATGTCAGGAAGCTGTATAGCAGATAGTTGTTAAATAACCAACCCAGGTTTTTCTTTTTTCTTCTTGACTTCAGGCAGGAAGCGGCCCTGAAACATAAGTGGGCCTGTGTATATTTGGACGATCAATCCAGCCTTTGTTCATATCCTACAATTTGTCGCAATGCTGTTCTGCCTCATTTTACTCTGCAGGTTAATGGCCGAGTGCAGTGATGTGACCCCTTGGATCAGTTGAGTGTTGTGAGTTTTGCCGTGGTTATCCAACCTAAAATGGCCACCGGTGGGTGCTTGGGGTCTGGAGCTTTGGCCTGTAATTGTTTTCTTACTGCTTGAGTGTTGAAAGTATAGCTCGGATGCTAACAATTCCCACAGGCCAGAGCTCAGGTTGGGCCGTTCCTTCCCAGTGCCTCCTTTCCTCCTGCATCTTAGATGCTTGTCACTTTTTGCCCACATTAATTTGCAGGTGAGAACAAAGCCGATCAACTCGAGGCGTATATTGCTTGTGAGCTTAAGCGAGGAGTAGTTGTAAGCTACTTATTTAGGCGGGAGAATGGGAGTTCAAGCGGCTAGCGTGGTTGTGGCCATGGGTGATTGCTGTAAGAGTAGAAGTGAAATGATGCAGACGTTGCCGAATGAAGGAGATCAGCTGTGCTGCGACACATGGGGGGCGTCTTGTTAAGCGGGGAAAGCCAGGCAGGTACTCCCAGGGCTTGAGGGACCCTGTTTTATGCGGGAAGTTTCAGGGTGTGCAGAATCGGGCCCTACAAGCTCCCAGAGCACGTTCCCAGCGGGACAGATTGACCACAGAAGATATGGTCCTTGCCCTGTGACTTCCACAACAAGTCAGGGCAGCTCTTTTCTTTTTATAGCAAAATATCTTCTTCTTTTGATATCAGCATATCTCCCTTAATGCAAAGATTTCATAGACATTAGGGTTGGAAGGGACCATGCAACATCATCGGGTCCAGCCCCCCTGCCCAATGGGCAGGAAGTCATCTGGGGTCAGCATGGTAAGCATCTTTCTTTTGGTAGCAAAATTTACAGGCAAACTATATGGGCATGCATGCTTTTGAAATAGGGTCAGGTACGTAGAGAAGGCTGCAGAGTTCTGGGCTGCCTTGCTCTCTTTCCGTAAAATAAACCAATGTCCTCTGCTAATCCGCAGCACAATTTGACACCACCTTTGTGTGGCAACAGTTTGTGGTGCGACAAGGAGTATGGACTTATGTGTGGCAGCAGTTTGTGGTGCGACAAGGAGTATGGACTTATGTGTGGCAGCAGTTTGTGGTGCGACAAGGAGTATGGACTTATGTGTGGCAGCAGTTTGCGGTGCAACAAGGAGTATGGACGCCTGTTTGCTCATGCTTTGCACTGCCGTGAGAAATGTTATGGTGGCACAAAGGTGGCAAAAGTTGCCACCTGTTTCCACCTAAGAAAATGATATAATCTAACTTTGCACTTAATTACATCTTGTAAGTCTTGGCCCTGTAAAATGCTTCAGCATCTGCCTAACTTTAAGCATCTAATGGACCTATTGAAGTCAGCCCCTGCCTTAGCAAGTGTGAGCTATAGCCAGGACTTCATGCTTCTTGCTATGTAGTATCTGGCAACCAATTCAGACTTCACAGTGGCAGCCCTGGCAGAGCTCTGAAAGCCTCTGTTGCCCCTATTGGCACTGAAGGAGAGGACCTCTCTCACAGGAGGGGATCTACCCTGTCCACTGCTCTACCTACTGAGCCATGCTGCCTAGAGGTAGGGTAGGATGCTGTCTGCTGCTGCAGCATTTGCATACTCCACTGAAGTTGCATTGCACGCTATCCAAGAAACCTGGGCAATAGCTATACCAAAATCCTGCACAGCGGATGCTGTTGTCTGATGGCTGCCCATTCTGGGCCCTTGCAGACACAGCTCCACCAGCAAAGACCTCTTTGTTGGCAGTCCAAAAGAGCTCAAGTGCAGAAAGGGGAACGTGGTGATCCAGTAGATCTTAGCGTGTATGTTCAGTTAATCAAGCTGTTGGGACTTTTCAGATGTCCCCCCACAAACAGGAGGCCCTTGCACAGGTCATAGCAGTCATGAGTTTTCCCTCCAGAGGACTCAAGGGGAATGAAACCCTTAGCGCCAGATCCTACTCTTCCTATTGCATGATCCTATTCCAACCCGGTCGAACCCCTGAGAAACCGGTGACCGCAGAAAATGGGTGCACCCTCTTGCTCACTGCTTTCTGTGATTTAAGCATGAAAGCTGAGATGACGGCGTGGTACAGAAACAAGCGATTGTCAAGGGCTTGAGAAAGGCAGATCAGATGCCTGATCAGTGGAATAGGATCTGGCCTCTAATGATTTCATCCTCACAATCCTCCGTGGGGTAGCTAAGCATTTGTAATCCCCTCCTGAGAAAACCAAGAGTTGGGGAGCGTCAATGGCTTGACCAAGATTTCGGGCAGAGGGGGAGTAGAGGCCAGGAGCCCCATTTTTGGGATTCATGGGCACACACCGGGGATGGGTGAGCTGACATTTGTGGTGATGGTGGTCTTATTAGCTTTTAAATGATATAAAGATAGGAAAAGGCTGGCCCACTGGATGAGGTGCTGTGTTTTGGAAGGACCTAGGTCCTGCGCCTGGTTCTTGATGTTGGCCAACTCGATTCACCTCTTGGTGCCTCCATTTCCTTTCTTTCTGTCGGTCTGTCTCGCCAGGAGATATCTCCTCCTATGGTTTTGTACGGTGCCCGGCACAGCCGTGGTGTGTAGCGGTGTCGATGTTCAGTGACCCCGCGCTCATGCTCTCTCCTCCCATTTGCAGCTGTTAACGATCGACGACAATTTCTGCGGCCTGGATATGAACGCTCCGCTGGGAGTATCGGAGATGGTGCGGGGGCTTCCCATCTTCACCGAGGACAGGGACAGGATGACGTCGGTGATCGCGTACGTCTACAAGAACCACTCACTGGCTTTCGTGGGCACCAAGAATGGCAAATTGAAAAAGGTAGGCTCGGCCCATCCTGGCCTTCTTTCTGACTCGGTGGTGTTAGTCCCTGCGGAGGCCGGCTGTCTTGAGATGAGTAGGAATGCGGTTTTCTAGCTCGGGTGCACGGTTTTTCATAAGGTCAATTGTTTTGCTGGTGGTGAGACTGCAATGAAGGGTGTAGGCAGATGCAAGGGAGTGAAAAGACCTTCTCTTTAGGCAGAGTCTGTCAGAAGATGAACAAGTTCGAAAGCAAAGCCTGGATCTCACTACCCCGTTCTTGTGCAATGGCGCAGTGTTGATCCGAGTACAATTTTTTCAAGTTCAGACTCTGTCTAGTTGAGAGGTTGATCGTTGGACAGCAGAGCGCTTTGAGGACAAAGAATTTACTGGAGTTGGGGGGGTTGTTAAGAAACACGACTCGTGTTTTGGAGATGTTCCTTCATCGGAGCAGAGCGACTAGATATGCTTTGGCCACAAGCTGCCTGTGGATTTTGTGGTTGCTCTATCTAGGTCAGGTTGGGCGTTCATGCTAAAATAGAAAGAAGAGCTGTGCCTGAATGGTAAAAGGCATTGTGTTTACTGGGTAACCACGGCCAACTTAATATAAATAAATACCCTTTCTGGAATATCTTGGCTTATGTCTCACGAAGTTACTCCAGCCCTGCCACGTGAGCCGTGCATGCCTCTGGCTTAGCTGTAGCTTTATATTACAACAGCTGCTGTAATTTGTCACTTGGGGCAATTAGCTTTGGCTTCAAAAGGCAAAAACTGAGATTGAGGGACTTTTACCTGTAGCTTTGGCAGGCATTTTGTTCTTCAGCTACCAAGTCCTGGTACATGTGATCTTGCAAAGGTAAAGATGGGCACTGTGCCCTCTCCAGAGCATTGCATAACATTGTCGGTGTTTGCCTGTACACTTGGCCCGAGGGACGTTCCTGCTGTGAAACAGTGTGTGTTGCAGGTGGGACTGTTGCTGCTCCGGACTATAATGAAGATACTCCCGGGGATGATGCTCCCTAAGAGGCCAGGCAGGATGTGGGATGAGCGGTCCTCAGGGAGGAGCCTCCGAAGCTCAGTGCTGGGGTTGGAGATTTGGGCTGTAGCTTGTGCTGCTTCCTTTTGAATTCCCTTTGCAAAGAAAAACAGCCTTCAAGAAGGGAGAGTGCGTGTGTGCAGGGGGAAGTTGTGACCACCTATGACTTACCTTCCCTAGGTTGTGCTTTCTATCCTCTGTGATATTCCCATGTTAACTGTCGGTGCTACTGCTTGCATCCCTTTCCATCCTGCACCTGGGGACCCCTCTGAGCTTTGAACACCAGCCTCCTTCCCTCCTCATCTGGGAAAGTGGTGCATCACCCTGCGTCTCTGGCATGGGTGGCAGAGCCCACTCTCGAGCCCGCCCAGCCCACCCACTCCTGATCACATGCTGCTAATCCCGAAACACGGTGGGGGGGTTTATCCGTGGGTGCCCATGCAGCCACTCTTCACATTTCAGTCTCCACAGTGCTGGAGACCCACCATGGATCATCTTCACTACCATATTTCCAGGACTGGCTCTTGTGAGCAGGAGCAGACACCAGTGCTGGGGAGCTAGTGTAGACATGACGTTCTCCTGCATTGCAAGGCCTCAGCCCTGCTATTAGACTTTCCTGAGAGCTTCAGTTTTTTGCCTGGTTTCTGGCAGTTTTGGGGACCGTTTTAGGTTTCTCACATTCATCTGGTGCTCTAGATCAGGAAGTGAGGAGGAGGAGAAGCTCAGAGGGATATTTCCATTGATGCTGTAACGGTTCGCCCATCTTGCTGGCATAATGTTAGATTATTATGTTGGTTAAGAAAATACCTCCTATGGGTCTGGAATAGTTTGTCGCGTGAGATGATACTCAATCCCTGGTGGACCGTGGCCAGGGGTTTGCTATTGTCTGGTTCCTGCTGGGTCCTAGCAATTGTGTTCACACACACATGTACTAAGGCAACTTAACAAGGTAACTTAAGCCACGTTGGAGCATACACACCTGCAGCTCCTTGACACGCTGGCAGTGATCTTGTTGATTTATTTGACTTAACTAATGTGACTCAAGATAATACACCTCGAAGGTGCGTTGTCTTGCTCTGCATTTAATTTGACTCTGCTTCACATACGTGTGTATCCTCTGACAGTTAAGTCAGCTTAAAAAGTTAAGTTGGCTTAACTCTCAGAAAGTTAGTACGTGTGTATGCACCCGGTGGTATTTCATTACTATTTCCCCTCCAACAGGCCGGTCGCTCTCTGCCAATGCACTTCTGGGTCAGCCCTGACGGTTATCACAGATTTTTCCATACATTTGCTTGTCTTGAAGGCATGAACTTTATGTATTTGTTGATCCTAAAGTGTTTCCTGCTAGGAAGGAGCAGAAACTATTTGGAGAGACTTCTTTCTCTGCAGCCTAGACTTTATTGATGAGTGTGCGTGCATGTATTTTTATATGAAAGACACAGATCGTATATCATGTTCTTGATGCACACTATTCGTGAGAGCCCTGCAAAGTACCCACAGCCATAAAGCAATATCAGTTGGTTGATACACAAATGTTATACATGTCAAAGGAATTTATCCAATGACACGTGCAATAGAAGTAAAATATTGTGCTTTACAAGAACGTATCATTAAAATGAAAGCTAGTAGCATATCGGGAGTCTGGCCATGTAACCAAGACAACAAAGAAGAAAGAAAAGGGAAAACTAAGATAAAGGATGCTGGGGTGGGAGGTAGGGAAAAGAGTGAGGCAAAATCAAAGATGATATAAAAGAAGGATGCAAAATGCAAAGTGATCTGTAGGAAAACAAGAGGGCCAAGCCCCCTACTGCTAAAGCCCCTAGCTCTGCTTGCCGGATCCAGCGGCTCTGCTGGCCGTATGAGATGAGAGAACAGGAATAGTGCAGGACTAGGAGGCCCAGGTTCGATGCTTGCACTGCCACAGGCTTCTTGTGTGACCTTGGGCATGCCACGGCATCTCCTCGGGCCTCACTTCTCCATCTGCAGAATGGACATAATACTCCCCTTGCCCAGAGGAGCATTGGGAGTATTAACACGCCAGTCATTGCAAGCGGCAGTCAGACACACAGCCATGGGAGTCATAATAAGTATTTAAACTAGGCAGCTCATGCGTTCTTGGATGGGATACGAGCCCCGAGTCCTGACCGCCTGTGGTCATTAAAGCTTTTGTGGTGCTTTTCAGAAGAAATATTTCACTTCTGGGGCTGCGGTGGGATCCCAGGGTCTATAATTGCTTCCTGCTGTTGCTGTTGGCTGGGGTGCTGTGCTGCTGTTCTTGCCTTGAGCTGTTTAGCATTGCAGCGTGCCGTTGTTTCATCGCCACGTTGCACTCCAGAGGTGGCTGTGTTGCAATGGCCAGCACCGAGACTCCTCTATACAGGACATACTGCGTCAAGGGCTGTGGGCGGAAAATTCCCAGGCTGAATTATTACCGGTCTCCTTTCTACTTCTCAAAGCATATTGCTTTCTTGAGGGTTTATTTGGATCGTACTCATTTTGGTTACTTCCAGGGTTTGTTTTTTCCCCCCTCTGTATATAGCAATCCCTGGACGTATTGGAAAGTAGTGTAGCTAGTACTACTGTTTGTGCCTCTTGCAAACCAGTTGCCTAAGTAAGCCAAAGTTTCCTCTAGACTATCTAGATCTCTGCTTTATCTTGTTTTACCTCTCTCATCTCTGCTCACAGCATGGATTAAACGCTCAGCTCTTCTCCGGAGTGGCAGTAGAGGGCTAATGGACTACTGCGGTATAGCTGATGCTGTCTCGCAGGGGATCTCAGCTACTGTGTTTTCGGACTCCTTTTCTTACCATGCGTGACTATCTGATTTATCATCATTATCTGCCAGTGGGTAGTGGTCAGAACTGCTCTCCACATCCTATTTAAGCATGCCTTAGTCATGCAGCCGGGAGGCATGGCTGTTCGCAATTTTGGGGGCAGAAACATTTTTTGTGGCTGACAAACAGTTTAGTTGAAACCAGACTTTTTTTGGTGGGAGCCTGTCAATTCTGCTGAAAGTTTCTGCGCGCCCCCCCAGGATTTTTAACCAAACGATATGCTTCGTAATTGGCTTGAAAATATTGTTTTGTTCCAGTTTTTTAAACCATGAAAAAGGGAAACAGTGGTAAGGTAATAACCCCCAAATCTTTGTCAGCTTGGAAACAAATGTTCCTGTTTCGAATTGGCTCAAAGCATCCCGTGGGAAGCTAGGCGTTTTCGAGTAAAAGTATTTCGGAGGAAGATTTTGTGTGCGAGTACGTGTGTGTTGTGTGTGTTTTCTTTCAAAACTTCTTGCAGGAAGAATCGGCCTAAATACCGACTCGTTACCTTTTATGTCTTACGTCTGTCGCTTTTGATATCAAACGCTGTCAGCTGGAGAAGGTCCTGGGGATTGTCAGAGTCTGCAGTAAGGGTTTGGCTCACGTTAAAGGGTGAGGGTTTAGGTTTGCATCTGAGAGCTCTGAAATCTGTGGTTAGCATTTGCTTTTGTCCCAAGTATGGGAAATGTCTGAACATCAGTGGCTTTTTAAAAAATCTTTCACTGTCTTATCCTGAACTGCTGCAAGAAAGATTTTGCCTGCATCCCAAGGATAATGGGGGAAGTAGGATCCTAAAAGTTGACAGTCCCATCCAGGACAAAAGCCACCAAGCCTAGTTAGAGCCAGATGTTTCTTCCCAGTCCTCCAGAGGAGTTGAATGCACAGTTCTGGGTTTGTCCCAGTGGCACACTGCGGCTAACTAAGTTGAAGAGTAAGTGCCGGCCTCCCACCCCTCATCAGACGGGAGCACCACAACTACTGGTGCCACACACTTCACCCACAGGGCTGATATCTGGGTCCCAAAATGGAGCAGCAGGCCGTTTTTTTAAGAGGCGGGGAAAGGAGTTGTTGCTAGCTTGTGACCCAAGGGGGTGGCATTGCCAGGATCTTCAGCAGAGTCATGGCTTCTCCATTTGGGAGGTGCTGGAGGACACACAGGGAAGAAGCAGCTGAAATGGCACAGGGATGTCTAGATTAGTGGCAACCCAGAGCTGTTCCCATAGCTCTGTCTTGCAAGGGGAGGAACTGGAAGATGCTGCCGGATTGCAGTCCAAAGCTCCCAACCCCGCCTTGCATGTGCAGCCCTTGTAGGGGTCAGCGGGGGACTCAAGTCTTCTCAACAAGGGTGCGAGGACTTTACAAGACTGCAAGAACTGCAGTGTCCAAGTGTCACCATCTTGCGGCTGTGGTATCCCAAGAGAAGGGCATGAGTAGGGGCTCTACAAGGAGGTTTGCTCTATAGGACAGGCTCTGTTGATTCATCCCCATTGGGAACCATTTATAATAATAAAATCATAGGTAAGTATGTCTGGATGGGGCCTTCAGAGGTCACCTAGTCCAACCACCCACCAGTGGCAGGACCATCCCTCTCCCTGTTTCTCCCCAACCCTTATCAAGGCCGGGATGTAATTGGGCACCCTGCCTTAGTCAGGGGAATAATAGATGTATTTATGCACAAACAGTTTACCAGGATAAATAAGCATTGGAGAGTGGGGAAACACAGCCGAGGAGAGAGTGGCGGTGGTGGCTGTGTGTGGGTTGGTGTAATTGGGCCACACGGCTGCAGAATACGAAAGCAGCCGCATGGCGAGAGGAGAGAGAGCTGTTTTTTCCTTTCCACCTCGGTGCGGTTCCTATCCAGACGGCCAGAGCTGATAAAAGAGCCCCTGGTTTTTGATGTGGGTGTCTGGTAAGTGCAAGGGAACACGCTGAGCCCTCGCTGTTCTCCAGGGGATCGGTTTGGGAACACGCAGGGGACGAGGAGTCCTGCCTGGTTCTGATATTCCCTGGAGGTTATTTCGTGGTAGACAACTAACTCCCCACGAGGTGAGATGACGGCAGGGAGAATAAACTTCCTTCTCCACCTTCTGCTTGGAAGGAGTCTGGCTTGTGAAAGCAAGGAGGGTTTTTGTGAATGGACTTGACTGCACTGGAGATAAGGAAGAGGAGTTTCCTGCTCCTGCTGGCAGGTTGGCTTCGCCCATCCCTCCAGAACAGCATGAAGCCTTAGCTGTCCGCTCAGTGGTCATGGGGCTGGGAGCTGCTGTTTTCTTCAGGGATACTTATAGGGACCAGATTTCTCTGTTTTTCCTCCAAACAGGTGTAGAGTGCTACACTTAAGAGATCCCTGCCAACACGTTTCACTCCTGCCTGTGGCAGGACCATGTCTGAACACTTGTAGTTCAGTTGCGTGGGCCATACCCTTTAGGGCTAAGGACAGAAGTTACACACAAGCTGGTTTAAATCATCAGAAACTGGTTTAAACTTGTAACAGAACAGAAGCTCAGTGTGCATAAACTTGGCTGAAACTGGTGTAAGATAAACCTGGTTGAATGTAGTATCAGACTTAACTGATTTGGGCCAAACTGGTTTATGAAACTTCTGTCCTAGGCCCCTTCCTTGTGCAAGTTAAATCACAGTCCCCCAGCATCCCAGCATGCTTTGCAGCCCTGGGTTGATTGTGCTGTCTGCTCCAAAGAGCAGGGTTGGCCGCACTCCTCTGCTCCTTAGCTGGAGCAGCGAGGCCTGGCTGACAAAGGGGAAACCCCGCTGGGGATGTAGCCCAGTCTATGGCAGGCGGGGGGTGGGGGGTGGTAATGCCCCCTATTTCAGGCAAACACCAGTTGAAGTCTGGGGCCAGGGAGGGGGGTTAAACACCCCTTCCCCCACTCAAATGTACTGCTGGCTGCAACTGTGGACTCCAAATCCCAGACGTACCTGGAAGCCGGAAGAGGAAGTGATGAGCAATCCTGCAGAGTCCTGTTGTGGTAATTCTGGACTGAAAATCCCAGAGACCTCAGGGGCAGCAGGAAGAGGAAGTGAACACATAGCCAGAACCATGCTCTAGCGCCCCCGGGCTTCTGGCCTGAGCCACTGGAGACATGTGGCTGCATTTCCTGGACCAAAAGTAAATGTCTGTTCACTTCTGTTTCAATTTAATCTGATTAACTTGCAAAGACTGGATCAATTCAACCTTGGGCTTTTTCTCTGTCTGTACTGTCTGGTTCAGTATGCACGGCCCATTCAGGCTACGCTGCTTGTGCTGAATTCCCCAAGAAAGGAGCCCAGCTGGTGCTGATGGCAGGGTTTAAATGGAGAGCTACCTACTAGGAAGTGGAATGAGACTCCTTAGCTTCGTCCATGTAATGGTGTAGTGAGCAATGCCTGTAACAGCAGGTGGGAGTAGGAGCAGTCTGCAGGGCTGTGATGAGTGCTAATTTGGACTGCAAGTCCTAAAACCTCCCCCACACCTGGGGCACAGGGAAAAAGGAAGAGGAAGCATGAGGCTGGAGTAAGGAGGGGAAAGAGGAGCCTGTACGTGATACCTGGGCGGCCCTACACAAGAGGAGCGCACCGCGGAGCTAGAGATGGCCAGTCGGGGCTGTGGACTGAAGGAGCTGGACTTGGACTTGGGGGAGCTGCAAGCTGCTGCTGGAGCACTCTGGGACTAAAGACTTGTTTGGGGATGTCTCTGGAGGGGTGTGTGTGGGGGGTGGGGACGGGAATTAAGCTACTGAGTATGCATTATCACTGTTGTTCATAGGATCATAGAAAATGAGGGTGGGAAGGGACCTCAGGAGGTCACATCTAGTCCAACCCCTTGCTCAAAGCAGGACCATCCCCAGCTACATCATCCCAGCCAAGGCTTTGTCTACTTGGGTCTTAAAAATCTCCAAGGATGGAGAGTCCACAACCTCTTGAGTTAACCTGTTCCAGTGCTTTGCTGCCCTCCTAGTGAGACCGTTTTTCTTAATATCTAACTTAAACTTCCCTTGCTGCAACTTGAGACCATTGCTCCTTGTTCTGATGTTCCTTTATCTCTTAACCGTTCCCTCCCTTGGCCTGTTGGCTTGTGACCCTAACCCCTACGATTTCCTAGAGAAAAATGGGAACTCCCCCTTGTTTTTTGTGCCAGTTTCTGGGGCTGCGGGGTTGGCACAATAGCAAGCATAAGGTCATGACAGCATTGCAACTTGACCTCAATGTGACCAAGCGGTGCATGGCGTTCTGGTACCGTGATGATGTTGGCTGCAGTGAAAGGCCTGAGATAGGAGCCCCCCCATGCTATCCAGTCCCTTCTGTTATGGGAGCGGAGGGTGGCCAGTCTTTTTACTGTCTGGCCTCCCTGGAGGTGGAAGTGGGGTTGATGAGGAAGGGGCTGCTTCGGTGTCTCATGTATCCTGCAGTGCAGTGACTGGTGAATGGATCCTAGTTAGGTCTTGCGGCTGCAACGTGCTACAGCGCTGTCTAGAGTTCCCCATGGTACTGAGCACAGCAGAAACAGCCGCCTCCGCCTGCTATGGAGGTTATGTTTCCCAGCAAAAATCATCTTCCAGCAAAACCAATTGATTTTCCTGGCACAGAGCACTCGCATGCCCCTTTCTCCACTCCCCCCGGTGCTATGACGCCCTTCTGCAATCAGGGTGCTGTGATGGAGGATGCTCCCGTGGCGTGGTTGTCTCTCCCGGGTGCCGCTGTTTGTCTCCGGCGGTGATTTCGAAACGTCTCAGCGTGTAGGTGGAGATGAGGTCTCGTGACCATGGAATGAGATTTGCAAATGACTCTCTAATCCCTGCAGATCCAATCTGTACTTCAAAGTGGTGGCGCTGGGCGGCTGCGTCGCCAGGGCTGCACCAGGCATTTGGATTTGAAGTGGAAAACCAGCCTGGAAGACACAGCAGAATCAAAGGGGCTGAC